CAGCCGGGCCCCACCACATGGTGCCAGCGTCGTGGTGGTGACGAGGGGCCCCGAGGCCCACCGGGACCGCATCCGCTACCAGACGGATGTGAGGCTGGAGGCCACCGAGGAGATCTACCTGACACCCGTGCAGAAGAACTCGGACCCCCTGGAGACTGACAAGCCGTTCCTGTCTCAGTCCAGCGAGAACCGCATGTCCATCAGCTCCGACATTGACACCTCCGGCTATTCAGCCCTGGCAGGGAAAACCAACCCCTCCATCAGCGAGGAGGACGAGGTGCTGGACTACATGTCCTCTCCTGACAAGACAAACCTGCCCAGGGCCTCCTGTGGTGGTGGGAGTGGTGGCTCCCGGCCAGGGCACAGCCTGCAGAGAGCCTCTGTGAGTTCGGACACCAGTGCCCTCTCCTATGACTCTGTCAAATACACACTGGTGGTGGATGAGAACGTGCAGCTGGAGCTGGTCAGCCTCAAGAAGTGCTACTCGGGCTACAGTGATGAGAGCGACTCGGCCACAGTCTATGACAATTGCATCTCTTCACCCTATGAGTCGGCCATTGGCGAGGAGTACGAGGAGGATGCGCTGAAGCGTGACTCAGTCTGCCTCTCCGAGGACTCCACCCCCGAGGCAGACATCCACTTCTCCAAGAAGTTCCTCAATGTCTTCATGAGTGGTCGGGCACGCTCCTCCAGTGAGTGCTGGGCACTGGGGGGAGGTGGGCTGGTGGCTGCCTGCCTGGGCAGCCTGCCTGTCTCTGGTACACACTCAGGAGATAGGAAGCCACCAGCAGAAATGAGCCCCAGTTCTGCTTGCTGCAGCCTAAAGCTTTGTCCCTGGTGGTCCAGGAGGCATAGTGGGGCTTGGAAAAACTTCATGAGTGTCAAGTGGGGGTGGCAGTAGGTGTTTGTGGCGGCATTGAGGCTTGCCCAAGGTATGGCCATGCTGAGAAGGAGGCTGAGAGAGCTCACAGGGAGTCAGCGTATTCCTGGTATGGCACACTCCTCTCAAAGCCCAGAAGAGCACTGGTGGCGTGCTCCAGCAGGCAGGGTTTCCCATGGTGTGGCTGCTCCCATGCAGGTGTCACAGCTGTCTGTGTTGGTGCAGGAGGTCTTGTTCCCAGCAGGGACTGATGGGCACCAGTGCAGCAGCTTCAGCTGTGCCTCTCCCTCCTGTGGCGTCACATGGCTTTGTCTTGCATGAGCCATCCTGCAGGAGCCTCGGCAGACAGCCTGACCCATGTCCTTCTCTTGGCTGTCATACTGATCCCACAATGCTGACATCTCCTCTGCCTTTGTCCCCAGGTGCCGAGTCCTTTGGGCTGTTCTCCTGTATGATCAATGGGGAGGAGCAGGAGCAGACTCACCGTGCTGTCTTTAGGTGAGCTTCCAGGCACAGGCAGTGTCCCCAGCCTCTATCAGGGGAAAGCTGGTACTGCACCCCCATCAAGGTGGGACTAGCACAAACTCCAGTGTTTCCCGTGTGGGAAACCCTGGGAGCAAACCAATGCCCGTAGCTCATGCCCTATCCAGGAGCAGCATTTGCCCAGGCTGCTGCATGGGCAAGACCTCTGAGGGTGGTCAGGGCCTCCGAGGAGCAGCTTGGGTAGTGCAATGGGGGATACCCTTGCATTAGGTGCCAGGATGCTGCTGCCTGTTGAGCCCAAATCTCACCCAGTGCTTTATTTAGCATGTCAGGTCCCCATGGCAGTGCCTGGGTTGGTGGTGGGTACCCCAGCAGTGTGCCACTGAGAAGGCCACCAGCACTGCTAGCCAGCCAGCTGCTAGTGCCTCTCTGCCCAGGTTTGTGCCTCGCCACGCGGACGAGCTGGAGCTGGAGGTGGATGATCCTTTGCTGGTGGAGGTGCAGGCAGAAGATTATTGGTATGAGGCCTACAACATGCGCACAGGAGATCGGGGCATCTTTCCTGCCTACTACGCTATCGAAGTCACCAAGGACTCAGACCATGTGACAGGTACCAAGCCTCTGTGTGCAGCCTGCTCATGTCCCCAGCTTGTACCACATCCTCCCCGATGAGCAGTCTGCTGCTGAGCAGGGGGCTGGGGGGAGGACCAAACTGGGCATCCAGCAGGGAGCGATGAGCAGGTTCTGCTGTGATACTGGGAGTTGGTAGCTGGTGTTGGGGGACACTTTTCAGGGAAAAGCACAGGGGTAGAAGATGGAGAGGGGAGGTGGGGCTCAGCCCACATACCTGGTCACCAGAGATGATCTCTGCATGTGCTCTCTCTTCCAGCTCTGGCCAAGAGCAGTGACTGGGTGGACCAGTTTCGGGTGAAGTTCCTTGGCTCTGTGCAGGTTCCCTACCACAAGGGCAATGATGTGCTCTGTGCGGCCATGCAGAAGGTAGTGTCTCACTCCATCTCAGGGAGCAGGAGTGCCTGCTCCTTCTGGCAGCAGGGCAGAGCCTCAGTGGGGAATCATCATCACTGCTCACGAGTCCCACGGCTTTGTCTCTCTCTCTCCTCTGCAGATTGCCACCACGCGCCGCCTCACTGTGCACTTTAACCCACCCTCCAGCTGCGTCCTGGAGATCAGTGTGCGCGGGGTCAAGATTGCTGTGAAAGCTGACGACTCCAAGGAGCACAGCAAGGTAGTGCCCCGCTCCCTAATCATCTCATCCCTTCCCTGATTGCTGCTCTGAACTAGATTGTGCCCTCTGTGCTACAGGACATGATTGCATATGAAAATTAATCTCCCCAACCCCACGTCTGAGGGTGTGAGAAACAACCAAGGTCCCCCATGCCTCACAGGACCCCAGCTCTGGGCAGTACTGCCAGCTGATGCTCTCACAGCTGCCAGGCACGTCACTGTGCTGGGATGCTGGGATCCGAGCTGTAGTCGGTAATCTGTCAGCTGCTTCTAAACCTTTCTGCTACTATTTCGAGTGGTGTCCTCCAGATCTGCCCTGTAATCTCTTTATCTGGCAAGGCAGGCTGCTGATTAGCATTCTGCATAAGTAGCCTAGTAAAGCACATCGGGATGCTGAGCAGAGGCAAGCGAGGGCTTTGCAGAAAGCTGTTGGGAAACCTCCCTTCCAACTGGAGGATAGGAGTAGCTCACAGCTCTGACTGCTGTGAGAGAGCTGGGCTGAGGTTTCTACAAATCTTGCCTGTATCTAGAGGATGCCATCAACTTAGCTGCATTTAAGACTTGTATAAATAAGTTTTCATTTCTAGCTGGGACCCTTTGACACCCAGGCTTGAGTGACTTGTTTAGTTCTAAGTTATCTATTGACCTTCTATTTGCTGGTGTTTCTGAGAGCCTTTTTAGTGAAGGAGGGCTGTGTGTGCTGGTGAACAGCAGCACTGACTGTAGCCTGAGTACAGTCTGACTCAGGGCCTCCAGGGAAATCTTGCAGGAGCTACTGGCGGTAAAGGCAGCTGGGGTGAGAGCCAGCTGGGCTGCCTGGAAAAGCTCCCTTTGTTCAGGTACTTGGAGCAATCCTGAAACTGCTGCTGATAGCAGCCCAGGATTAGGCTCCAGTTAATTTCACTCAGTCTCCAAGTACAGATTTCCAGTGGCCAGAAACCAGCTGCCCTGCAGGGGGTGGGGAGAAAAGCTCTGACAGTTCCCCTTTATCTCTCTCTTCCCCAGGTAAACAAGTGTAGCCATTTTTTCCAGCTGAAGAACATTTCCTTTTGTGGGTACCATCCAAAGAACAACAAGTGAGTAGCAAGGTGTAGTGCAGCTCTCAACACCAGTAGCTCGGCAGTGAGGCTTTGCTACCTTCCTGCTCTCTGAAGGTAGCACGACTGGGGCTGGAGAAGGAAAGATGAGGTTTCCTCAGAGCCCTGGTTTGGAGGGCTCCCCTTCCCCTGTGAGCCCAGTGTTGCAGCTCTGGACATAGGCTGTGGCATGACCCTGGAGTGGCCATCAGGATTTACTGGGGGGGTTTCAGGTCCCAAATCCCTATGCTTAAGGGTGGGTACACCTTAGAGATGCTGGGGTACCTGTGCCTGCTGGTCTGCTGGTCCAGTCACATCCACTTTCTTTGCCCTCAGATATTTTGGGTTCATCACCAAGCACCCTGCTGACCACAGATTTGCCTGTCATGTCTTCGTCTCGGAGGAGTCCACGAAGCCACTGGCGGAGTCTGTAGGGTGAGTACTGGCTGGGCAGGGAAAGCTGGCTCATAAAGGACAGGAGGAACAAGACAGCCAGGCTGAATCCTGCCATCTCCCCCTACATGTAGGGCTTGGACCTCGCCCCAAGCTGGCACCTCTTCCTCAAGTGAGATGCTTGGCATGAGAGCCAGGGCTGACAGGGCTATGAGCGTCGTATTCCTGACAGTACTGGAACAAGTCCCAGTGCAAGGCTATGCAGGCAGATGGCTGAAAGTCGTGCACTATGCAAGGAATCAGAGCAAAGATGGAGAGCCTGTGGCTCTGATGGCAGCTCTGGGGCTAATGCAGAAGAGGTCAGGGGCTGGGGGTGTCAAACAGGCCACAGGGTAGGGAGTGAGGGTCAGGACTGAAACGAGGATCTATAATTGCCTTGTGGGGAGGTTGCTGCTAAGCTTTGCCTGGTGCTGTGTTGCAGGAGGGCTTTCCAGCAATTCTACAAGGAGTATGTGGAGTATACATGCCCCACAGAGGACATCTACCTGGAGTAGGGGCTGGCACAGGCACCTCCGCACAGCCAGGGCTGCAGTCTCGCCCCTTCCCCGTGTCGTGCATGGACAAGAGCTGCTTTGAGCCTGGAGGAGGAGCGGGCCCGGGGCAGGGCTCCCCGGGGCATGGAGCGCCGCCTCTTTTCGTGACTCCCCTTCCTCGGGCTGGGGGGACGGGAGGGGGGAGGGCTGGACAAATTGTGTTTATTGTACAAAATACTCTTAGTTTATTCTATTGGAGAAGCACCCGCTGGGTGCCCTGCTTGTGAGCAGTTGTGGGGGGGGGGCAAAAGCGTGCTCGTGCCCTTTCCAGCTGCAGGCTGGGGTGACAGCATCTCCTCCTTGTGACCATGGAACAGCTTCCTGTCACATCCATCTGGGGTGACTTTTAATTGCAGTGGCAGAGTCAGTCTCTTGTAGTATGACACAGCAGCTACAGAAAACAAGACCCACATGCTGACTCCTGCCTGGGAGATGGGATCACCTCCCTGCCAGGCCCTGGAGAGATAGCTGCTGGGCAGGGGTGGCAGAGGAAGCCCCAGTATCTCCTCTGCCAGAGCCAGGAAGAGATGAGACAGCTTTCCCCTGCCTCTGTCCCTATCCCCACCCCTTCCATCTTGTATTCATGCCCTGGGGAGAGAGAAAAAATTCCCTCATACCTCCCTGCAGTAACTATACCTTTGGGAGGGAAGCCTTTCTCTGACCCTTTCCCCCAAGCTGCAGGTGGCAGAGGCAGGGAAGGGACACCCCAGCTCAGTGGGGCTCAGCCCCTGCACAAAGCTGGGTGTCTGCCTGAAGTGGGGCAGGGAAGGGCTAAAGGCTGCAGGGAGCCGTGCAAAGCACCAGGGAGGTAGAAGAGCTCTCCCGGTCCCTGCAGCCAGTGATCTCTGTGCTTCAGCTGGATCTGCTGTGATGGCAACAACTATTAAATATGATGGTTCATGGAGCAGAGCTACTGTGATGTTTGTTTCCCACTAGCTCCTCCTTTCCCTTGGGACCCCAAGAGGAACTGGAGCTGCAACCCTGGGAGGCCAGAGATCACACGATGATCCAAAGGGACTTCTGGCAGCTGTTGCTCCAGCCCTCACCTACTGGGCTGAGGTGGGCACGGGGGCACGCTGGCTCACAGGCGCCCATCCTCGTAGTATTCCAGCAAGTCCAGCCCGTCGCGTTTGCTTTTGCCAGCTCTGCGCAGCTGCGCCGGCCGCTCCAGGGCCCCCTGTGTTCTGAAGCGAGGCTGCTTGGGCTTGATGCCGTAATCTGGGGGCACAGATTACACAGAGGCTGGGCTCAGCTCTGGCACAGCCACCCACCTATAGAAATGGGGTTCAGAGGGGCAAGGAGAGCACTGTACCATCCACCAGGCCAAAATGCTTCTGTGGAAGCTCCAAGGGAGCAGAGAAATCCTCAGGAACTGAGTAGCTCTCCCTACAGAAGAAAACAAGGGCCAGGAGTGAGCCAAGGTCCTACAGCACTTACCCAGGCTGGCACAAAAGCTCCCACGTACTGCATCTTCTGTCCAGTCTGGCCAGCTCTTGAGGTCTGGTGCTGCAAGTCCCAGCCCATGTCAGGGGCCCTGGGTACCTGCATGTACCAGGGCAGGGAGGAGGAGAAGGAGGGAAGTGCCATCACCTCTGGTACACAGGCTGTGGGAAGGCAGCCCCCAGCAGCAGGGCGAGGAGCAGCAGGCAGCACAGCATGGTGCACACTGACCGGTTCCACTGGTTCCACAGCGAGGTCACAGAGGAGCCACCCTGGTTGCCCAGGACAGCTGCTGGGTGGGGCAGGGGACGTGGCCCCTCCCAGGTGCTGCTGCTGTCCCTTCCTACCTTGTCCCCTTCGGGTCCTGGGCTGCCTCTGCCTGGGCCCTGCCAGCTGCTGAGCCCTCATTTGCTGGTGCATGTCCCTCTGTACAGTCAGAGATCCAGGGCTGTCCCTGTCCCCCAGCACCTGCTTGTGCCTTCCTCTCAAACTCTCCAAAAACAGACCCCTGCATCTCATCTCAGTAACACAGGCCTCTGCTAGGCCCTTTATTGTACGTGGCACAGCAGATTTGCTGAATTAATCACTTCTCCTCTGCCCTTGGCTAAGCCCCCAAGCACTGACGGGCAGCCATTCTGCAAACCCTTTTAACACACATTAGGTGCTAGGAAAGCAGCCTGCACACTGCTGCTGTGTACCCCCGGGGGAGCCCCAGGACTCTGGGGGCTGAGACAAGCACTGGGAATTACAGAGGCTGTATCAGCTGAGCAACATGTGACTGACACAGGCCAGAGCAAAAGGCTTCTAAGGGACCGAGTATCCCAGGGTAGACAACTGCAAAAGCTGCTCTTTCTGACAAAGAGAGACCTGCTGGCAACCAGAGACAAGGGATCTCATTCAAAGAGGCAGAGGCTCTTCAGCTCAGTTCTCTCCATTCAGTCAGTTTATTTGACAGACAAATCTGCTCCAAGCAGATGGGCCAGGCCTGGCCAACACAAGCAGGTTGTGGGTCAACCTCAGCACCTTGACATGTGAGACAGTGCTCTCCAAAAAACCACTACGCTGCCTGGCTTTATTACAGCGCAGCTGTACAAAAGAAGAAAAATCAAGTGCTTCAAAAAAGAGGTTGCCCTATCACCATCACTGCAGCCACAGAATGGTCCAGAAAAATAGGTGGCCAGGGTCTCCCCACACATTTAGTGTGCATCATTCATGTCTAGATCTGTTAAAAAAAATCACATACACCCCGTCCTCGCTCTGCAGAACAGGAGCTTCTCATTTATGATTTAACTGAAAATTAGACATTATCAACATCCCTCCCCCAGTCTGCTTGCACTCCTTAGGAATGTCCAGCCATGATTTTAGCAGAGAGTAATCATCTTCTTATCAGCCCCAGTTATAGAAATAGATTTTCTGCCAAGCAGGCAAGTAATCCATCAGTGGTCCTGAAACAAGAGAACAGAGGGATCATACATGTAGAAAGGCAACAATTTAAAGCTGTGCGTCTATGGGGCATATCCCCCACTTCTCATTATGATCCAAACAACCCCAAATCTCCACTTACACAACTCAGACGGACCCAAGACTAGAACAGTTACTTTTACCAAGATGTAAGGCAACACTGCAATGTGGTGCCAGAGCTTATAGCAGGACCAAGAGGGGCGTGAAAAATGGTCAGCACAGGATGGCGTGGGACACCAACCTGTCCTTTGGAGCTGACATGTTCAAACTCCAGTGGGAAAGGGGGTCTACAATGTGCAAGGGGAAAACCCACATGCAGAGAGTCAGGAGAACACTGCTGTGACAGGGAAGAAGGAAGATAACTCAGCAATAGTGAGCAGGTGCAAATACAGAACCATCTGCTGTAGAGCAAAAATGCTTACGTTGCACAGGGCTTAATGCAGGCTCCAAAGCCTCTCTGAAATCACTAACTGGAGGAAGTGGCTCCTGAGCTAGCCAGCTTTGTGACCTCTCCAAAGAAAGGGCAATCCCATGATGCCAGGCTGATGTAATGTCACATCACTGCCATGAATCACTCCACAAAAGGATTAACATCATCAGGGGAAGAGTAGGGGGAAATGAAATGCTGGCCTATAATAAAGGGATCCTCTGGTGAAGAACTAGAATACAGAGCTGGTTTGGCCCTTTGATTTATAGTCAAATTTGATTTTCTGCCTGGTTCAATACTTCCAGGCACCCATTTACCCCTTGTGTCCACACCGCAGACTAGGGATCAAGGAAAAGAATTCAGAACATGGCTGCGAAGTTGGGGCACTGGTGTACCAACTCAGGTGCAGAACAGAAGCCCAGGAGAACAGGCCTAGGTGACAGACACCAAGCTCTGCAGCCTCAGGGCACACAGAGGCTTACTACTGTCATCAAGCCAGGAAGCAATTATCTTTTCCTTCAGCATTTAAAAATTAGTCAAGCATCAACACAGGGTGCTCTAGTGCTAACTTGTCTAGGGACTTCCCAGTTCATTTCCTGGACTGGAAACCAATTGACAAATGTTCCCAACAGCCCTCATTTTTCTCCATCAGATAGAAATAGGGATATAACAGTGGGACCCACTTACGTGTGATGAAGCCAACTCCAGGCACATAATCAGCCAACAAGCGCAGAAGGAGGAGGATCCTGCCCCTAGAAAGGGAGAGAGTATGAACAAGTCCAGCTGGACATCTGCTGCCCCAGCTGTTGAACACACAAACAGCAATGGCAGCTGTTACACAAGGCCTCCAATTAACCTGGTCAGAGGCACCCACACATCCTCAGATCTATTCACCCAGTCCCCTGATGCTATTTCAGTTAAAGGGGAAATTTTCAGCAAAAGCCCAGCAAGGGCCCCTTACTCTGAGTATCGGTCATAGAACGGCGATCTCAGCAGGTAGTACAGCAGCAGGATGGTTCGTCGCCTCAGCTCTGCCCGCTCTCGCCTGTTCAGGTCCTTCAGATCACTCAGCAAACTCAGACTAGAAGGAGGAGGGCAGAGAGCTAAGTCACAGCAAAAGCAGCCAGCAGGGAAAAGAAAGTGGATTTCTAAAGCCCTCCATTCTCAGCTCCATGCAGAGCAGCCCACACCAGCTCAGAACAGAGAGCACTGTAAGCGTTGTAGAAGATGTGTCAATCCCCAAGCTAAAGAACAGCCCTGGTGCACGCTTCTCTCAGTAGGGCTTGCCCAGGACTGGGGAATGGGGAAGTGTGATGCTCAGCCACCACCAATCCAAGCACCAAGAAAGACTCTTCATCAGACTGACCTCGAGATGTCCAGGACTGCCGAGAGGAGCCAGGGCTTCCATGATCTCTGGCCCCATACTCCTAAACTCAATACTAGGAACATACAGTCAAGGAATGAAAAGATGAGAGATTCCTAACGAGGCACACAGAGAAGCGATCCCCTGCATACCCACAAAGTTCTGCCAAGTGCAAGCGAGTACATCCTAAGGCAGGGCTTGGGGGCCCCGGGGAAAAGGGCTGGAGGACTTTCACCCACAGCTCCAGTGGCTGAGGCCAGGCACCAAAGTGAAAGAAAGGGAAGAGTCGCGAGTGCCGTGCCCAAGCAGAGCGGCGCGGGAGCGGCAGGCGAGGCGCTGCCCTGCACCGGGCCCAGCCCGCAGCGCCCTCTGCTGGCACCCGCGAGCGGCGGGAGCCCGCACGGAGAAGGGCAGGATACGGTGGAGCAGGGGCCGGGTAATGTAGATGGATTCTGCGATGGTTTCTTGGAGACCCAGAGGAGTGGGAGGCTGGTTCATCTCCTCAGCTCTTCGGCTCTGCGATTCCTCCCTCTGCTGGGGGGACCCCCAGTGCCGGGACTGCAGGGACGGGGCTGAAACAAGCAGGTATGGTTACTAACACAAATAAAAGCTTTGTCCCAGCTGGAAACTAGGTATTGCATGACTCCACATGGCCCTTCACCCCCCCGGCCGGTTGTATGGGGTGAAGAATCAGAAAAACTGATGGTAAAACTCCTGCATTGACATAGAGCAGTTTAATAATTGAAATGAAGTAAAATAATAACAACAATAAAAATAACAATAATAACAATAATGAAAAGGAAGATAACAAAACTCAAGAAACACAAGTGATGTACAACCACTCACCATCCCCAGACTGATGCCCATCCCATTCCCAAACAGCCTCTCCCAGACAATTTCCCCAGTTTATACAGCGGGCATGACGTTCTATAGTATGGAAGATCCCTTTGGCCAGTTCAGGTCACCCATGCTGACTATGCTCCGTCCCAACTTTTTGTGCATCTCCTCACTAGCAGAACCCAGGAAACTGAAAAGTCCTTGACTGAGAGTAACCACTACTTCTCAACAACCCACAATATCAGTTATAATCATGTTATCAACATTATTCTCATACTAAACCCAAAAATCAGCACTGTACCAGCTACCAGGAAGAAAACTAATTCTATCCTAGCCCAAAACAGGACACCTCATTATCATGTTTCCCTGCTTTCTGCACTAAAGGTGTGAAACAGGAAAGCTTGAAGAGGTACTTGTAAGATCCATGCTCCTCAAAGCATAACCATGAAGAAGAGCCGTCTTTGTTGCACGGCTCACTTGAGAAAACACAATTTAAGTGCTAGCCTTGCAGCACATCTCTGGTTGCTTTGATACCCCCACCTACCCACAGTGGGCCCAGTGAGTGGCAAGGTACGTCCCAATACAAGGTTCTACCCTTTACTGCTCACACCCATGTCATCCATGGAGGCACAGAGCAGGAACAGCTCAGGCTGAAAAGCAGGCACAGTTACTTACTGCTCTGTAGAGAGCGCACAACACGGCTGGAACGCCGGCCAACATAGGTCTCATCCTTCCCTGAGGAGTTGTCTTCCATGCCTGCAGAAGAAAACAGCCACAGGGGTCAGGCTGCAAAGCAATATATTGAATTGCTGCTTGACATTGCCCAGGTCTAGGGCCTCTTCCCTCATCATTAGACCAGGGCACATGCAGCCTGATTCAGCCAGGAATTCCCAGTTTCGAATTCTCCATCCCTCCTTCCAGATAGCAAGACAACCCTACCACTAAGCTAACTCGTCCTCTGCAACGGATGGAAAGTTCAACACAGCTCAGCCCTGAGTACAGACACCTTATGGTTCCATGTGCTGCACAAGCCACTGCTCTGACAAGTAATTCTAGCAGGACAAGACATGTGGCTCAGCAAGGCACCAAGCCAATGATGACAACACCATGGGCTCACCTTGAGAGTGGAGAGGCTGTTGCTTCTCCCTGTTCAGTGGCACGATGGGAGGAGACATCTGGATGCCAGCTTTGTACCACAGCAGGAGCAGGAGACGAAGGAT